CCTCAGTAAACCCCAGGCCTCTCTAACTATCTAGGAGTCTGCTCCTCAAGGGGCCAGACTTACGAGGCGTAGGAAGATCTGGCTTCAGGGACCGGCTGGCACCTTCCCAGGTGTTCTCTGAGTAAGCCCACATTTGTGATGTGGTGGCGAAGCTGGCTGTTAGGGTGCCTGACCCCCTCTGATGCAATCGATGCGTCTGCACTGTTGTTTTTTCTTATTACACAAGCGACACATTTCACTTTAAACATGAAAAGAGTTAAGAGCTCTATTCAATATATACTTTAGAAAGTAAGAGATTCCAACAGTCTGCACCCTCCTCCAGTCCTGAGCAGGGTGTATTACAAAGCTGTTAGCTCACACTCTCCGCGTTAGTGACATCTGACACGTGGGACTGCGAAGGTGCAGCCAAAGGTTCCCCGTGACACGCTGAGAAGAGGGGCTGAACGACTGCTGAGGCACAGAGCAGCCCTTCGCTCCCTCTGAGAACCGGCCCCTCGCTGCCCGCCCTGCCTTTCCGGGGCCAGATTTTGGATCCAAAGGCTTACTATTAAACGAAAACGGATTTATTAAGAAAAATGAGTGCAGACATGGCCTGCAATGGTGAAAGGAGGCAACTTTCAATATATCCAACATGAGAACCACACACGATGTCTTCCTTACTCTAAATATTGGAATAAAAATGTTAATTTCCGACGAGCACAGACACAAACAGAGCATTTTGACGAACTCTATCTTCATGAGCCAGGAAGAAAAATGTTCACGTAAGACACTGAAAAATCCTCTTTTCTTTGGCTATTCTGAAAAACTTACTAAAATCCCAGAGTTTCAAACTCGCTAAAAACCCACCCTTATCCTGGTTTAACTGCTAAAATTAATCCTGAAATAGACAATGTGCAGAAAAAAAGCAACATCTAAAAAATCCACCTCCCTTTTCCCACTCCAAAGTTTCATTTGAAATACATTGGGAAATCTTACTTTAGAGCAGCAAATGGATGGCGTCCTTCTGATCGCTCAGCCAGCAATTAACTTGAGACCTTTGTGCAGAAGCAAGTCAGGCGCTTAACAGTGCGTGCTGGGATTTGTAGTTCAGGTCCCTTCCGTTTTTTAAGAGGATTCTCTCGTTCATACTGTATATGTGTACGTGCTGCCTCCTAGTGGAGCTCAGTTGGGACTGTTAAGTCCAAGTAGAAGGTGAAAAGTGGAAAGCATTTTACAGCTTTCTTAGGATGTGGCACTCATTTACTTCACTTTAAGTTTAATCTCTCTAAGTCCTTGTCGTTTGTTTGCCCACGGCTGCCCACTGCGCCACTGTCCAGGGCCTGGCTTATTCAATCTTGAGAACCTCGCCCAGGCAGAAAACCGACTTCTGTGCATGGGCCACGAAGTTTCAATCGCACTGTACGTGCACGCTGCACGTAGTATTTTGTGGAAGAGCCACACTCAAGGGGCCAAAGAGCCACATGTGGCTCGAGAGCCACGGTTTGCCGACCACTGCCCTAACCTGATAATCCATTGCTATTTACCAAACCTTACCTTTGATATGTGTGTCTGCTTTGCTAAAGGGCAAAATGTGTGAATAAAAAGCCATGGGTCCCGACATTTGGAGACCCCACTTCACTAGAGGGTGAGGCCTCCACCTGGCTTTCCCCCATGCCTTCCAAATTTATATTTCTTGTCTAGTCTCTATCCATTAATGCGTATCTCTTCTCCAGATTCCTGAACCCTTGCTGTGGAAAGACTGAGGCAAAAACAAATATTATTTACTAAAAAATAATTAATCTTGAATGATATTGCTTGATTTTAAAAAGGAAATACAAAAATAAATGAATGTGGCAATATCAAACTAAAAAGCTTCTGCACAGCCTGCACTCCGACAAAGGTTTAATTTCCAAAATAAAAAAAGAACTCATAAAACTCAACAACAACCAACCCAATAAAAAAGTGGAGAGAAGACCTGAAAATATACCTCTTTCAAGAAGATAGCCAATAGTTCAACCTCACTAGCAATTAGGGAAGTACAAATCAAAACCACAATGAGATACCACCTCACATCTGTTAGAGTGGCTGTTATCCACAAGACAAATAATAACAAGTGTTGGAGAAGTTGTGGAAAAAAAGGGAACCCTCATCCACTGCTGGTGGGAATGCAAACTGGTACAAACCATTATGGAAAGCAGTCTGGTGATTCCTCAAAAAATTAAGACTGGAGCTACCATACCACCTAGCAATCCTCTCCTGGGTATACTAGTATCCCTGAAAAACTTGAAAACATGTATTGGCAAAGATATATACACCCCTATGTTCATTGCAGCATTATTCATGGTGACCAAGATGTGGAAACAACCAAAGTGTCCTGCAATATAGGACTGGATAAAGAAGATGTGGTACATATACACAATGGAATACTATTCAGCCATAAGAAAGGATGACGTACTGCTATTTGCAACAATATGAATGGACCTTGAGAATATTATGCTTAGTGAAATAAGTCAGTCAGAAAAAGCTAGGAACTATATGATTTCACTCATGTGGGATATAAAACAAACTTGTGAACACAAGCGGCAGTGGGGTGGTTGTCAGAAGGAAGGGGGTGGGGTTAAGGGGTATTAATATATGGTAACGGGAGAAGATTTGACTTTGGGTGGTGGGCAATATACAGACCTTGGAACATAGTAACCCACACCTGAAACCTATATGATCAATGTTACCCCAATAAATTTTTTAAATAAATAAATAAATGGCCAAATATAAACCCATTTCTCATTTGAAGTTTCTCAGACAACTCTTTAATTAAGTTCATCTCTCTCTTCATAGAGCTGTTTCTTACTCCAACAAGAAGCCTTTTAGTGGAGCTGTTTATGTGTGTCTGCTATGCATTTAATCACAAGTCCCAGAAGATGTGAAAATGATTTCTTATTAATGTTTGTGTCCCCAACAGTGCATTCCACATAGTAGTTATTCAGTAATTTTTATTTTTTTTTGGAAGGAGAGATTTATTGATTGAGAAGGTGCCAACAAAGAGGGAGATCTAATGGTGTCTCAAATCCATCTTGTTCGCTGAACTAGGTTAAGGGACTTTAAGGAGTTAGAGGGAACAGGTTTGCAGAAGTGCTGGTGGGGCAAGTTTTAATTGGTGGATCTTGGGACTTGGCCATTTATAGTCAGGGACACCAACTCTGGATCTTCCTGGACAATAGATGCTTGGCTTCTGAAAGGGTTCGGGTGCTTAAGTTATGTCCAGTCCTTTGGTTCTGTACTGTGTGAGTTTGGGGGGAGGGAGGGAGACTTTGGTTTCAAAAGATTCCGGCAGTTGTGTTGTCCTTGTTTTTGTAAACTGGCAGACCACGTTTAATTTTGAGAAACCAAGCGCTTGAATGTCTTCATTCATAACTTGTGTTTTTATGACCAGGTTATCAATGTCCCCCTTCTCAGTGGGAAAGGGGGTTTGTGACACTTAACTGGCAGGAGGTGCAGAGGACAAACATTTACATTCTTGGCAATTTGGCTTCTCTCCTCCTTGGCCTCCTCCCTTCTGCTTCCCACTTCCTCCACCCAGTGGTTCTCAACCTTCCTAATGCCGCAACCCTTTAATACAGTTCCTTATGTTGTGGTGACCCCCAACCATAATATTATTTTCGTTGCTACTTCATAACTGTAATTTTGCCACTGTTATGAATTGTAATGTAAATATTTGATATGCAGGATGTATTTTCAGGGGTCGCCACCCACAGGTTGGGAACCGCTGCTCCACGCCCTGGGCACGGGCCACTTTCTTTGCAGGATTTGCTATCAACAGTTTCCATTCAGTTTGCTGGCTCTCCTAGTTTTTTCCAGCTTGAAATAACACCCGAAACACACCTGTAGGAGGTTTTGGTCCCATTCAGGGATGGTCCGGAAAAGCTGGGCAGCCGGGTTTTCTTATCTACTGCACTCCCAGCATCCGGATTCTCATGCTCAGTCTTAGAGTCAGATCACGTCTCTCAGAAGCATGAACAGCAGGGAAGTGAGTACCCACAGGCTTTTGGCCGCCCTGGTTCTCATCGGCGCTGGCAAGGCAGCCGGCAGCGCGGGGATTCTATCCCGGAGGCGCCGTCAGCTTGGCGAAGGCTTGCGCCAGCCTGGCGTTTTTCGGCAGCTCTCAGGGCGCTTGAGTGTCGGGTGAGCAGTAAGGGAATCTGTGGTTGGATTCCTCGCCAGGCAGAGAGCCAGGCTCAGCTGAAAGATTTCCATGCAGGGAGACGGCGGCTGAGTGGAGCAGAGCGTTTCCCGCCGCCTTAATAAACTCCGCTCCGTAGGGAAGGGAAGGAAGGTGAGGGGGACCTGGAAGCGGGGTAGGAGGCAGCTCGCGGCGCTCTGAGCAGTTCGCTCTCCCCTTGCAAGAAGTTGTTTTGCGCCCAGGACCTTCTCAAGCATCCCGGGCACGTCACTGGTTAGTTTGGGGTGGTGGGTGGAGAAACTGCTAACATTTTGTAGATGAAAATTCTGCTCCCCGAGGATTCTCGCTGAAGTGCTGGGGGAGGCGGGGCAAGGGGACGAAACCAGGACGCCCAGGAGGCTGAGATGCTCTCAGGCTCGGGTGCTCGGGGTTGGTTGTCGGAGGGGGTGGGGCGAGGGCAGCGCGCAGAAATAGGGCTTCGGGAGGCGGAGCGCCCCCAGCCACAAGCACAGTCTTCTGCCCGGAGCCGGTTCCGAGGGAGGCTGGTGTGGTGCAGTGCGGGACGCCCGCAGGGATCCTTACTCCCCAAGGGGCTCCGTGGGTCACCCGCTGAGTTGTCGCGATCGCAACCCAGAGGAAATCAGGAACCGTGTGGGGCGCGTTCCCGGTGCCGTGGGGTCACCCCAGCTCGCCTCTCAGGATGGGTTACCAGCTCTGCGTGCGCTGCTGTGGCTTCCGCGCCGGTCTGCGCCTCCAGCGGAGGAAGAGTTAATCGGCCAGAAAAGGAGGAGCCCAAAGGAAGGAGGGAAATTGCCTCCTTGTGATACTTTTTCCCCTCAGAGGTGAGTGCCGGGAAGCGGCGCTCATTCTCCCCGGTCGGGCTCTGCGCCTTTGCTCCAGGAGCCGCCGCCCGACTGCCTGGGGCCAGGGACAGCCGTCGCGCCCGGACCTCCGCCGGGACCCTTTCCGAAAGGTGCGCACAGCCACGGGGGGCGCAGGGCTGGCCGGGAAGATCCTTTTCACCTGGCGGACGCTGGTGCTCGGCCTCATCCTCCTGCCTTCGGCCTTCGGGTGTCTTTGGGCATCTCCGAGATGCACAAGGAAGTTCCTGGTGAAAACCTAGAGGTGAGCGCCTGCGGGGATGCGGCGTCCTCGCACCTCCGGGGGCTTCAGGGAGAGCCCGGTGGTGGGGGTAGGGTTGGGCCCGAGGGGGGACCAGTTCTGAAGGTCAGTGGTCGGGCCGGGGTGTGCGTTTCTGCTTATCCTCTGCAGTAGCGCGAAGACAGCTTCTGCAGAGCTGGACAAATCGGACCACCCTGTTGTTCCTCTTCTCGGAAGCAGACCTACCCCACTTCCTGCTCCATTATTGTTATTTTTACTGCGAGATTAGCAGTGCAGCTGCCTTTTATATCATTTGCTTTCTTTACATCCATCACTCAGTGCCGCTGTCACTTCCCTCGTCGAAGTTTTTAGAGCCCCCGGTTTCAGAGATCCTTTCCTGTACTAAGGCATCATGTTGATCTATTCAGTAAATCTTTGGTGAATTAATTGTTTAACTTAAAATCTATTAATTTTAACTTGTGAACCTGGAAGCATGGGCTCTCAACAAACATTTGGGCTGATAGATGTTGTTATTATGTCTGTATTTGTGGAAGAAGCTAAACAAAGTATAATTATACCATGACTGCTGCTCTCTAAAAAAAGGTGGGTTGTCTCAATGGAGCGGGTTTGGGATGGCCTCCAGGCAAACCATTTCCTGCTGCACCACTGTTTTCCGTGGTAAGGCGATTGAGTGTATGTATAATCAGTAGGTGGTTCCTACAATAATGTAAAATTGTAACCTTGGAAAGCAATTTCATATTCTGAGCCAAGGAAGTTTTTAAGCTATTGATATACACATAAGAGGTGGAAGGTATACTGGTTAATGTTAGGGGGGAAATAACTTTTTAATCTATCTTTATGAAAAATAATTAAGGTGACTTAAAAAAATTCTTTATTGTTGAAAGTATTACGAATGAGCCCTTTTCCCCCCATTGTCCTCTCCCAACCTACCCCTAGCCCCAGCCCAGGCCTTCACTCCCCTCCATTGTCTTTGTCCATTGGTTATGTTTATATGCATATCAGTTCTTTGGTTGATCTCTTCCCCGCCTCTCCTCCTGCCCTCCCTCTGAGGTTTGACCATCTGTTCCATGAGTCTATGTCTCTGGATCTGTTTTTGTTCATCAGTTTATGTTGTTCATTATATTCCACAAATGAGTGAGATCATGTGATACTTATCTTTCTCTAACTGGCTTATTTCACTTAGCATAATGCTCTCCAGTTCCATCCATGCTATTGTAAATGGTAAGAGTTCTTTCTTTTTTATATGCATAGTATTTCATTGTATAGATGTGCCACCGGTTTTTAATCCACTTATCTGCTAATGGGCACTTAGGCTGTTTCTAAATATTAGCTATTGTAAACTGTGATGCTATGAACATAGGGGTGCATATGTTCTTTCTGATGGTTGTTTCTGATTTCTTGGGATATATTCCTAGAAGTGGAATCTCTGGGTCAAATGGTAGTTCCATATTTAAATTTTTGAGGAAACACCAAACTGTTTTCCACAGAGGCTGCACTAGTTTCCATTCCCACCATCAGTGCACGAGGGTTCCCTTTTCTCCACATCCTCACCAACACTTGTTTGTTGATTTGTTGGTGATTGCCATTCTGACAGGTATGAGGTGGTACCTCATCATTTTGATTTGCATCTCTCAGATGATTAATTACTTTGAGCATTTTTTCATATGCCTGTTGGCCTTCTGTATGTCCACTTTTGAGAAGTGTATATTTAGGTCCTTTGCCCATTTTTAAAAATATAAACTTTGATGGTATAGTC